CGTGTGCTCTTCCGATCTTATTTTATTTGGTTCATTTACATCTCTCGCGCGACCAATTATTCTTATCTAATAAATAAGTATTTTTGATATATATAATGTATTCATATAGATTAATAAAATATTCGAAAGCATTTTAACTATTCGTGTATACACATATTATTATTAATATTGTCTAGTTCAAAATGTCACATAAGATCATGATTCTTTGTAATGAGATGTAAATCGAAAACAGGTCTTTAATTTGTTTAAATCATTGCGTAAAATAATATAATTTATAAATGTTCACATTTATTATGTTTAAATTAACATGTAATATTAATCCGGAAAAATTTGATTCAGATTTGATTCGTATTTGAATTAAAGAGATTCGATTCAATTCGATTCGATTTCGAACATGTTATAAAAAATTTGATTTGATTTGATTCGAAGTTTCGCCGCTCCTGTCTACCTTCCGTACGCGTAATTCGCTATTTCTCGTTATAATTTGAAAACTAAGCTTCGGACAAAATTTTTGGAAAGAAAAAATCGTCTTAGAATTGAGTCAAGAATACGTTTTTATAAGGACAATGAGTTGTTTTGAATCACCCTGTATATTTATTCTTTGTACACAAAATATCATTTTTTTATTGCTCTTTTTATAATATTTAAAATAAAATATATAATTGATATTTTGAAATTATAGAAATGTAAATAAATAAATTTAATCAGGATATTATCTCACAAATGATGCTAATAAGAATTACCTATAATTATTTTCAGGGAAGTATAGCTTATGCACGTGCTCTCTGCAAGATAAATCTTCTCTCGCAGGAAGAGATGCAACTCATAAATGTAAATTTTAAACAGGTACTACGTTTTCAAATTTATATTATAAAAAATTTGACTTTAATGTTACAGATTATAAGATCGTTATGTTATCATATCATGTAATAAATATATTATATAAATATAGTTATACTGTGTATTAATATTAAAATTAATATTAAAATAATAACAATATTAAAATCAAAATAAAAAATTTGAACTTTTAATTAGATAGAAGATGAATGGGACAATGGCAAATTTGTTATAAATCATAAAGATGAGGATATACATAGTGCCAACGAACGAAGACTTTCGGTATGTTGACAATAACATAATCTATTGATTTTAAATATATATTGGTACAAAAATTACACTATAGTTTACCAAAAAATGATTTGTTTTAATTACTTTGAACCGGAGTATGTGTTTTTTTATAGATTTTAGTATAAAAGCGATGCCGCAAGTCAAATTTCTCTAGCACATTAAGTTCCTAAAATAATTGATTTAATGTGCAAAAAATGGCTTTTTCGGTGATGTTTAATATTTTTTTGTAATAAAAGTTAACATTATCTTAAAACTTTGATCAAAAGTCATGAATGTATTGTTCATTCCCCATAAAATTCATTCTTTCTATTTCAATGTACTTTTTATATATTTTTTTGCAAAGCAACTGTATATGTTCTTTACATCAATCGATTCCTTAACAACACAGAAATATTCTGAGAATGATCTTACAAGTACAATCACAAAAGAATATTGCGATAATCTTATTGTAAGTAAAAGGAACTTACATGTGTAAAAGAGTTGTTAAAACGCTTAGACTCACGCATGCAAGACAATGTGTTCTGCACAAAGTGTGAGAAGTTTGTAAAAGTTGATATAATTAGAGGAGAAATATAACTTACAAAATGATAGATAAATAATATATAAATAAATAAAAATGGTAACATCAAGACTTAACAAAAAGATCATCATACAAAGAATCTAATAGTTTGGTGTCATTTTGTAAATTTAAATTATGATTTTGTTTATTGATATGAATCATTTCGGAGACGAGTCTTTATTAAAATTCTTTTTTGCTCCAATCGAAATCATGTGCGGTATTGGTTCTGTATTCAGTAATTACAGATTGTTGAGTAGTGTTTCCATTAATGTGGTTTTTATGTTTTTTTATTCTAGTTTGTAACACTCCGCCAATTTGACTACGTACTGAAGCATAGTCTTTACAATTTATTTTATAAACTATTGATTTGTACGTAATAAAATGGATAATTTATTTTTTTTAACCCAATAAATTTACTTAGTTTATTTAAGCCAATATATGCAATACGTGTTGCGGGATTATTCTCAAAAAATATTTTTAATCTGTTCGAAATTGAAGGTATAAACGGAATTATTAAAAAAGTAGAAAATTTCTTTTTGGCCTTTTTATTGTTTATAATATGGAGTTAGCAAGAGTTAGAGAATAAACTAACAATAAATTTATTGGAGTCCAAAAAGATAAATTATTTACTTTATTACATATACATTTACAAATGTAGTTTATGAAGAAATTGTAAAAACTGTGATGCGTCATACGTCGATCAAATTGGCAGATTGCTACAAACTACAAAATAAAGAAGCATAAAATTACATTAATAGAAACACTACACTCAACAATCTGTAATTATTAAACATATCAATACCGCACATGATTTGGTTTTATTAAAATAGTAGATCTATGTCGTAGATATTTTTGGTTAGCCAAGGATAAATTTGTTAACGCCGGTTAAAGGGCAAGATTTCTTTTTGTTTTTCACATCTATATTGCTTTTACGTAAGCCTAGCCTTCTTTTTCTTCTTCTTCCGGTTCTCACCATGTGTGCACGCGCTTGAACTAAATTTCTTTCCACATATTTAATGTACAAGTGTCGACATAAATAAATTGTTCTTTCAATAGTAACGCACCATCGTAATTTTGCCCTAAAACCTGAGATTTCTGACACGTTTGGAGCAACGTATTAATTTTAGACGAAGAAAAGAATTTGAATAAAAAACTCATCTGCGAAATGATTCATGTCAATAAACAAAAACATGATTTAAATTTACAAAATGACACCGAATTTTAGATCCTTTATATGTATGATGATCTTTTGCTAAGTCTTGAGGTTTTTTTATTTATTTACATTTTTTATTTTTATTTATTTATATTAGTTATCACTTTGTAAGTTATATTTTTCCTCTAATTATATCAACTTCTCACACTTTGTGCAGAACATATTTTGTGCGTCAGCCTGAGAGTTTTAACATCTCTTGTACACATGTAAGTTCCTTTTACTTATTGTTTTAAATTTATAGTTATTGTAAATCTTTACAATTTTCTAGTTTAGTTATTTGACTTCACTGCCTCAGCATTTTGTCAAATGCTGATTAACTGATTAACTCTCTCATGTTCTTGGACTTACTGCAATGGCTTTTTACATATCCTGACTACGCTTTATTTAACTTTTAACTTAAAATTTCAAGACAAACGCTGGATCATTTTTTGAGTCTGTGATTCTTTTATATACATATATGTTCTCTTTAATTATTCTCTTATTTATACTAAAGATGACCCAACAATAGGATCGAAACATTTGCGTCTTTTTGCATTATTGTAACTTGTCTTTTAATAATATATAATTTCTTTATACACACGTACATCCAGTGTCGGCTATTATTGACAATACCGATTTCTTATACATATACATATAAAGTTCTATAACAATTGAAAATGAAACTAGAAATCTAGCCAAACGCTTCACTTTGTATCTTAATAAAAAATAATTAATATTATTATAATGTTTTCTAAATTTGCAGGAATTAATCGGTGATGTAGCGAAGAAACTACATATTGGTAGAAGTCGCAATGATCAAACTGTAACCGATACCAAATTATGGCTTAGAAAATCCATCGACAAACTTTTGTTAAAAATTAAGAAGTTCATTGAGGTAAATAATATAATAACATTTGCATTATAATTACAGATATTTTTATTATAAATTTATGATTACAAATACAGAAAAATTGGAAACGCCAATATCGATTACTACTGTTTTTTAATTTAGGACCATTTGTACAAAAAGTGATAAACTCAACAACAAAAGTATGATATAGTTTTAAATATACCGCGTTTATTGAATTTCTCTGATTGTGTCAAAAATATTATTATCACCAGAGATTTTAGTATAATAGTATAATCAATCATAATAGAAACTGTAGATATATCGATAAATTAATAGTTTTACAAATATGTTTACAAAAGTGGATAAATTATTAATGTTGCGCATAACGCATTGCATACAATCATGTTGCACACATGAAATAAAAAAATCATGTTAACACTTTGTACAAATCATTATTGATTACATTAATAAAATAATTTCTTTAGATACTTATGTATATAAAGTTTTTGTTCACAGCGCTGTTTGTAAAAATTAACATGGTTTTCTTATTTTACGTCTACATGACCCTAAAACCAATGCACTGTGCGTAATATTGTCGTGTGTGCATAATATGATTATTCATGTGTGCAATGTGCTGTGTGCAATACGATTGTGTGTGCAATGCGCTATATTATATCTGTACAATACTGTTGTATGCAAACAAAACTGTCATAGGCAATTATATTGTAAGCAAACGGGACCTTCCCGACAATCGCAACAAGATGCTATTGTTTAATTTACGAATATTTTAAAATAATTTACAATTTGAAAAAAATAAGTTATGTTATTATGCTAATTTTGAAAAAATAGGTTCTTATAATTCAAGCAGAACAAGATATAGACATACTTATGCCTGGATATACACATATGCAACGAGCACAGCCTATTAGATGGAGCCAGTGGTTACTTAGGTAAAAAACAATTTATTTATAAATTTTTATAAAAAAAGAATATATTATAAAATAAAAACAGCTTTTATCAAAATGTTTGTTTTTTCATATGAAGATATATTATTCGATATTCCATATTTATTTTTTATTCTTTTCTTTATGAACTAAAAAACTTATTTATTTTATTTGTACGCAGTTTATGAAATATTAAATAAATTTCGAATGGATGTATAACATTGAAGAAAATTATGATATTATGTATTATATTGCGAAGAGAAAGCTGAAGGGATAGAGCGATTTTTTTTTGTTATATTTACGCGCACGTACGCGACACTTTCGTAAATATCATGAATTTGGAAGAAGTACTAAACCAGAAAAGTTGAAGTTCTGGAAATATCTAAAAGATATTAAAGATAGATTTTCCAAATATTTTTAAAAGATATCTGAAAATTGTTTAAAATTTCTAATTCATAGCTTTAGATATTTAAAACTATTTTAAAAGATATCTTTAACATTTCTTCGGCATTTATAGAGTAGTATTAACCCTAGACTACCACATCTGGGTAAAATTTATCCGGACCATTTTTGAAGTGCATGCCATTCCGATAGGGTGAAGAAGTAGGGTCGCGATGTGGGGGGGGGAAACTTATAAGTGTCCTTTACAATCTTCCATCATAAGCCACGTCATTTCACTTGGTACTGTCATTCCAGCCACACGTAAAGTTCGACAATCGATCTAGTTCACTCGGCCAAATAAATGTTTTTTAAAATAAAGCCATATGAGGTATTTTTTTTTTGAAAATATCACTTATGTTCTTTTAGAAACTATGCTTTACTTTTTTTTATTCGCCTCTGAAAAGACTGCGATATAAAAAATATCAGTCTTTTTCGGAAAAGATATAAAAGCTGATTTGCATTTTTGCAAATTGTTCATGTCCTTAAGATCTTTGAGTGTTACTATCCATTCAGCCTTTCTTACTGTCTGGCGTATAGATTGAAAAAAAAGTTCTAAATCGGTGCGTTTGAACCGAAGTTATGCAACAAAATAGGTAGGCCGGGTAAATTTTACCCATTGTGGTAGATTTGGGTGGCAAATATAATGTGGTAGTCTAGGGTTAAAGATATCTAAATAATCTTTTCTAAAAGATATTTAAGTTTATAAAAGACAGCTATAAGTTATTTAAAAGATATCTAAAAAAATTTTGTTGTTGCTTATCATTGACAGACTCAGATAGCATAGATGAATAAAAGTTCATGGAAAATTTGTTTTAAAGAATGCTTACAAAAATAAATACCATGTCTGAAAAATATCTAAAAAATTAGCAAATTTATTAGCCGCCTATGTGAACAGTACTGCTTAAGATGAACATGACAAAATTCTATTTTTTGTAAATAAAAATTGTACAAATTAGAGTAAAAAGCCATAAGCGCGCAAATTTCAGACGCCACAATTGGATAACTTTAATCGTTTATAATTTAAAAAGTATTACAGCCTTGACATTTTCGTATAAGAGTTTTCGTCTTAGAATGCTCCTTAGAATTTGCCAGTGAAAGGACATACGACTTTTTTGGCCATCTTATATACATATATATATTAATTCATACTTAAAAATTAATCCTTGATTTTTTAAATTTCTTAGCTACGCTTGGTCCATAAAACAAGATTTGGAAAGATTATTGGAAGTGCGCAAACGCGTGAACGTCTTACCGCTTGGTAGTGGTGCAATAGCGGGAAATCCTTTTCCAATCGATCGTCAGTTTTTGGCTATGGAGCTTGGATTTGATGAAATTACCCAAAATAGTATGCACGCTGTTGGAGATCGAGATTTTGTCGGTATGTTTTACAAATTTAATATTTTTTTCGGATAAAGATTGCTGAGAAGTAATAAATAATAGAACTAATATAATTCTGTATGCTGTAGCCCAGCATTAATGAATGCTCAGCATTAAATGCAAATGTTGGACAAAATTTTATGTCGGCATCTGTTATTATCCTATTATCTTCTTTTTGGCGCTTGCGTCTTATAACGACGAACTATACGTAATGATAGACATGTACTTTTTGCCAATATCTTTTAGATATCTAAAGATATCTAAAGATGTCTTGAAACTTCCTTGCAGGAATATAAAAGATACCTTAAAGATATCTTGAAGATGTCTCGTGTAATATAAAACATACGCAATTTGCAATATACTATTACATATCTTTTTTAAAAAGCAACCATATGTTTTCTTGGGAAAGTTCTATTTGTCTACAATACGATTGCCTATAGCTTCGTTTGTACATGACAGTTTTGCATACAACGCATTGCACATACGATCGTATTGCACATAGCACGTTGCACAGACTTTCTGACTGTATGCCAATCTTTGATTAGAATGCAAAAATGGCTTTATGATTTGTTTTGGCAAAAATCAAGTATTCTCAGTCCTTATCTGTTCCGTAACCTGTCACCATCCTTTCTCCTACACACATAAGGTGTAAATCCGATCTGACAATCTCCACGTGGTACACCTTGGGTAATGCTATCGCTAATGCCAGCGGTACTCTAAAATTCAACTCTCATAGCTCAAAAAGTACTTAATTAAAATAAACTTTATTATAATGTTTTAGAAAGGTCTCGACATCAGCTATTAGATTCTGAAATAAAAAAAAAAGATATTCCATTTGAAGAAATCAATAAGACCTTGACCTGACCGTGATGGCAGCACCCAAGATTAAATTGGTAAAATCAATAGATTCTTTTAAGCCCTACAGCTTTTGTCAAAATATTTTTCTCAAAAACGTTTAGTTTCCGAAATATAAATTTCCACACTTTTCGGTACACACCCATGGTATAAGGACAAGGGTATGCTCGTCTGGTGTTATCGCGCATGTTGATGCCGAGCGGCCAATTAAAATTATTAAAAAACTTACGTCATCGTTATGCGATAAATTCGCGTAACGATGTATTATTTCAAATATGTTTAGCCACATGTTTCAAAATTCACTGCCAATACTGAAAAATAGCTTAAATTACCATATGATCAAAATAACAATAAAATTATTGCAATAATATGGCAGACACAAAATGGCCGATCTCAAACTGTTGCTTAAGATATCTTTTAAAATAATTTTTTACAAAAAGTGTAAAACATCTCAAGGCATTTTTTAAAAATTCAAGAGATACCTAAAAGATGTTTTTGTCTATCTCATTCAAACATGGCAAAATGAAAAAATCATGGAATCTATATGTAATAAAATGTTATTTTTAATTTTTAACTCAAAATATAAAAGTTTTAACTCAAATTTTAACTCAGGAAGTGACATTTATTAAATAAAAATTAACAATTCAAAAATTTACAAAGAGTAAACATTTTCTATTTAAGAGCGTTTTTAGTAAAATATATATCATATTACTATAATATATATATTAGAATATTGTATGAATTATTCTAATTTTGCTTTCATTTTTTTAAGCTGAATTTCTGTTTTGGTCATCATTATCAACGGTACATTTAAGTCGTTTCTGCGAGGATTTGATTATGTACAGCACTCAGGAATTTAATTTTGTCAAATTTGCTGATAAATATTCTACTGGTAGCAGTTTGATGCCTCAGAAGCGTAATCCAGATTGCATGGAATTAATTCGCGGAAAAACTGGTACCATACTAGGAAAGGTTTGTTTATACATACTTAAAGCTTGAACCCAGATAGCCAAGTGCAGTGAGTTTGTTATGCTGTTGTCATCAATCGTTGCAGCAACTAATTTCGACAAACTCGAGATAAGATGCTTCATCATTATATTTGTCGTGTTGTCTTCACGTGAATTTAAATTCAGATAACGGCAAATTGATGGCAAACATGTCAGTATCAATTTGTAATAGTAACTTGATGGCAACATATTGACAATATATCATCCACGATTAACAGCATATTGTCAGTAAATTATCGGCAACTTGTCATCATCGGTACTCAATCTGTACTCAACAGCATGTTGAAAGTAACATGACGGCAATACATGTCTAATAATGAATGCTACATATGCTGACAATATGCCAACAAAACGTGCTGTATTTGCTTGTACTATCATGCATTGTAAAAATATTTCGAAACAGCCAAGCAACAGTACCAAGCTTCTTTGCTGCAAAAACATTATTCATATCTCATACTAACAAGTTTAAGTTGCTGAAATATACAGGGTTACTGTGCCTGGTTACTGTACTTCTTGTGAACAGGTGAAGCGGATTAAACTAATTAGCAAAATTAGTTTAATTCAATAAAACTCTATGGTTTTGCAATAATTAATAAAAAATTAATTAATAAAGATCTGCAAATAAGTGCATCTGTTTTCAATGATAATAAAGAAAAGCATGCGGCCAAGATAACCTAGCATCGCTGTACTTCGGTTGCTATGTATGTATATTATAATAATTCAAGGATTATTATTAATTATTGTAGCTTATATATTATTGCAACCATTAGTTATTAAGAAACTCGCATAATATTAAACGATTTTTTGAAGAAAATTAATGAAATTTTCTAATTAGTTCAACCTGTTCTATATAGGTATCTGTTTATGAAAGGTAGCATGGTAATTACCAAACACTCTTTATATTGTATTAGGCTAAACATAAATAGATTGTCATAACTGTTACGACAATATCATAAACACAAGTCAAAGGAATAATTTTACAATAATTGACGTGTAAACAGTTTTCTTTATATAAAATAATAAATGTAGTATTCTACTATTTATTTATATTTCTGAAATTGTCGAAAGACTATTACTAGTATTATACTTTTGAAACTTTATAAGAAATAATATGCATGTTTATTTTTCTCTTTGAATTTTAGAATATTTTATAAAAGAAAAATTCTTATAAAATATAACAAAAATGTTTTTATTTATATAATATTATTATAATTTTAGTGTATCGGCTTCATGATAACGTTAAAAGGAATTCCATCCACGTATAACAAGGATCTTCAAGAAGATAAAGAAATGGTATTTCAGACTTATGATACACTATATCAAATGTTCCACATTGCCGAAAAAGCACTCGCCACTTTGAAAATAAATAAAGAAAATTGTAAGAATGCTTTGACATCTGACATGCTTGCAACCGATATGGCGTATTATCTTGTTACCAAAGGTGTAAGTATTCTTTTTTCTTTTTCCCTACAAATACAAGCTTTTTTAAAATAATTTTTAATTAACATTATCAATATAACTAAAAAAAATGCTGACAATTACAGCTCAATGACAAATTACAATTTAAAATTATTCCAAATAATTTTATTCATATAAATATACAGTATCCAAAAAGTTCAAGAACACTTGAATATCATGGAAAATATAAGTTTTACAGAAAAGTGTTTCAGATAAAAGTTGTAGGGTTCAAAAAGATCTATTTATTGATCTTATCAGTTTGGTGGCGTTGTCAAAATCAGGAAAAGATCACTATAAATTTTTTTAATGAAACTTATTTTTCATTGCATATTTTTCTAACTTATCTTGAGAGCTTTCCAAACATATATATATAGCTATAATAAAATATTTTTTCATTAAGGGGTCTGCCCACCCTTGAGGCCTTAAAATGATACCTAATAAGTTTGGGATTTTTTGTGGGTAAATAGATAACTTTATTTAAAAGCTGTTTAGAAAACATTGTTGTACGTATACATATAAGAAACTAAAAAAATATTTTTTTATTTTTTTATGCACAAAATGGCGGTGCAATGATCTACTTGCGGAATCCCTTTTTTCTGTTTTTTCAAATCGGTATACAGGATTCTAGGCACACGGTTTGCTCTTGAACAAAACACAAAAAATTTTCATTATCTACATAAAGACTATAGAGGTACGTAGAGGTTTTTTAAAATATTGATTTTTCTTGATATGGCAGCTATTTTTACGAAAAGTTGTATTTTTGTCAATACAAGTAAAATAGCTGCCATTTTGAGAAAAATCAATATTTTGAAAAATCCGTACGTATCTCTTTAATCTTTAATATGTAGATAATAAAAATTTTTTATGTTTTGTTCAAGGTCAAACCGTGTGCCTGGAATCCTGTACATCGATATAAAAAAGTAATTGAAAATTATTGTAGTCTCAACATTTTGGTATTAGACTTGTCTCTAAATGACTTCAGGAATCTGTTATTAGCAAGTGGTGCGCTGGATCTGGGACATCCTGTATACGTATATAATTTTATTTAAAAAATCAATGTGACCCTGACCTGACTTTAACGACGTTAACTAAGGTTAGATTAATGATACCTTATTATGTTCTCTCCGAACGATACAACTTTTGTTTGAAACCTTTTACCGCATCTATTATAGTTTTTGAAAAATCTTAATGCATTATTTAAAATCAAACACCCTGTATATAAATAACATTTAATAAATATGCCAGATGTTTATAAACTAACACTAATAGCATGTTAAAATACAGGTTCCTTTTCGACAAAGTCATCATTTGGTTGGGAAGGCTGTTTCTTTGGCTGAATCAAAGGGAATATCTTTGCCAGAATTAAGTGTTTTACAATTAAAAACAATAAGGTATAATCAAGGTTTATGAAGATAAAATATTTTAGGTGAGAATATTTAGGTGAAAAAGACTTAAGAATAAATATTTGTTTTAGCGAAGCATTTGAAGATGATGTATCATGCATTTGGGATTTCAACTTCAGTGTAGATCAATACCAAACTACTGGTGGTACTAGTTCAAAAGCAGTGCAACAGCAGATTAACAGTTTGCGATCATGGATACAAGATTTTCCGTTTAAAAAGTAATTGTACCTAAAATAATTCTCTTTTAAATTAATCATAAATAGCTCAATAATGTCTTTGCGAGCCGATACGGATGTTGGTGTGTAATAATTTTTACTGTTACAATATCAAGCCGTATACAAACTGTATGCCGCATATGTTGTCGATCTTGAAACAGAGTTCTTACATGAGACCAGAATTCATTGTAACGAATTAAATTCAAGCAATTTAATATTTTTGATATTAATAAGCATTTGTAAGAATTCCCTTCCCGCAAATCTATAAAGAATTTATTGTGAAAAATATTACCTCTGCTCATCTTTCAAAACTCGTTGCGTTTGGACACTCATTGTCTAACTTCCGCCGAGACCAATCGATCTGAATAGTATTCAGTTCTTGCGAGCGATCGCGAATCCGAGACTTGGTCGGATTCTCTATGCTAGCTAATTGTGCAAATCGTATGATTTGACGGCTAATCAAAAAGTGAGTCCAGACAAATAAAGATATCGTGTAGAACATTGAAATAATCTTCTGTTTTGGTGCGCGGACTAGCTCATCGTGAGCCAGAATCAAAACATAGTTCGCACGGAGAGAGAGGACAGGAGCATAGCGGGAAAAATTGCTTAACTCGAATTTTTAATATAAAAAAAAGTTAACATTTATTAATAACAATAATTAAGTGGAACTGTTTATAAATAAAAAAGAAAAGAAAATTATTTATGAAAACGTAAACGAATTAATTACAAGTATTATAATGCGCGGACGGACGATTATTTTACAAGTATGTTAATGCGCGGACGGTTCTTCTAAAACGCTCGCGTATTTACAGTGAACGGATTGATTACCGCGATCCAACGTCGGTTTTGTCGTTTGCGAAACCGGTACTGGTGATCGGCGCAATATTGGCAAATCGGCAATGTATTTGTCACGGCGTACGAAGATACGGAAACGGAGATGAGCTTAGCATTCAGCGTATAGCATTCAAGCAGAAAGCATACGATCGAGGCAGCGAAAGCGTTACTTTTGGTATCAAAGCTTAAAGATCGGGAAATGAACTCATATATAAATATTGTAGTGTTTAACTATATTACGCACGGCATTTAGCTCAATCCTTTACGCGAGAGTTCAAGATATCGAGAGGGTGTGACAGACCACGTACAACACACAATGCAAGAGACACGCAGATTATCATACGCGAGTTATTTTATGCAAGTTATTTTTGTACTTCTTCATTATTAAATATATATCTTTCTGAGAGAAATCTTCACGAGTATTTCTTGACGACAAACATAACAGTATTTTTTCCAGTTGTCTGGAGCTCTAGACTCGAGATCGCGAAATCTCGACTTCGTTTGCCGGAGAGTTCGATATTGGGATAAAGGCTCTAACAAAGGCCCGCGATCACATGCAGAGACGGTGAAAATACAACTTCTGTTTCCTTCGAGAGCGAACTAGCACAGCGAATCGACTGGTCGGTTCGGGAGAAGGTGATTAATATCGGATTAATTACAGCCTCTTATACCTTATAAGCGCCGGCAATTAGTTTAATTATTCGGGTTTATTCGGTCTTTTCTGGCTGGGTTGCGTTACAGCGCCGCTTCGGTTGCGGTATCGTTCGGTGACACTTGGCGAACATAGGATGTCTTCGGCGCGCGCTATTAAGCCTTAGGTCCGGAGCACATGAAATGCATAACGAAACATAAGCACAGCATAAGGCGGATAAAGTGAGAATCTTATGTAAATCAATATGGCGACTTTATGCTGGCTGTTCATTGGTTCAGCGAGCTTATGCTATACTTATGCTTTGTTATACATTTCATGTGCTCCCGGTCTTAGTCCGCGTAGCGATGGTCGCCTAATTATCGCGAATTTAATTGTGTGGTAATTAAAAAAGAATATGGACACATCGCACTTGCCATCGTCTCGCGGGTGTTCTGCTGAGCGGACCCCGGCTGATGATCTGCCGGACATCCGGCCACTGCCAGGAATCTTGTTACGATATGATTTTTAGGGGCGCATTGTTACAACATCTCAGGTATGAATTTCTGCCTTCCCATCCGTGGATTTTCCAACGCAAGGTCTCTGTCGAGATCAAACCGACGATACGTTGAACAAATATTTTATTAAAAAATAATAAATGATTAAAAAAATCTTTCTATTATAAATAAAAAAAGAGAAAGGAAGATTTACAGTTATCAATTAATATATTTTTATTACAAATTAATTGCTGTAACACATACATCAATAATACCATCATATATAATAATTTAATCATCAAAATATTAATTCAGTCATCTAATTGGCACAGCAAAGCTAATCCTCTCTTGATCCAGTGACTCACAGGACGATCCGTGGATAAAAGAATCGACATTATATAATTAGAAGAATGACCTGTAGTCTTGAGTACACCAAAACGTGCCGATGTAATATAGAGTGGACATTCATATCGATTTCCGATAAGAATAAACATTTTTTCCAATGGTTTTATTAATACAATCGGCATAGGATCCCACAATATTTTTGGATAACTTTCGGCAAGCAACATTTGTTTAAATTCCCATCGTGCACCAGCTAAATACATTCCGTAAGCATAAGCTCCATCAATAGCGGATGTATTGGGTTGTGCTGAAATTACCTAAATATTGATAATACATTTGAGATTAACAAGAAACAAATGTTTAAACATGAATTTGTCATTTTTATAAAGCACATGTAATTTTACTATTATTAAATTAATTATTATTCATGTATATATATAAAGCTGGTTAAAGTTTAGAAGTTTCTAAAGCAATTTTTTAAATAACTAACATTACAGACGCGCGCTTCGCGCGCGCTATTTATTTTTTACTATAATTTGCTATTATACATCAACCTCAATACACACAATTATCAAAATATGTAATAACAGCCGCTCACGAAATTAGCGCAGCAAGAGAACCTATCATCATTGCGAAAAAAATGTCAACAATAAACTTCGATACTTTCGAGAAGACGGATATATTTCGAATATTAATTTATAATGCCTTTTTGAAGGTAGAACTTGTTCCTTTTGAATAGCTGCATTATATATACATACATACAGGATGTTCCATTTTAAAACATTCATTAAGATTTCTCGAAAACTATGATAGATACAAAAAAATATTTCAAACAACAGTTGTATGTCTTCAAGGGGGACATAAAATAGTACTAAGGTCAAACTATTGGTTTGACCTTGGATGTCAAAATCAGGGAAAGATAACTTAAAATTTTGTTAATGAAACTCCTCATTTTTCACTGCATATTCTTGTAGCTTGTCTTGACAGCTTTCCAAAACAATATAAAAAATTTTTTTTATTAAGCACTTTTTGAGTTATAAGGCTTAAAAGTTATAGTATCATTGGTATTATCCAAGGTACCAAACAATGGTTAAAATCTTTTAAATATTGTTCAGAATCATGGCCTTGACAACATACTACTGTGATTAAAAAGCATCGAAACTTTATTTTTTAAAAATCGCTGGGAATCAAATCCGTTTGCTTTTTTAAGTTAGTACATGTCCTTCGCATTTGGTGAAAAAAATCATGGTATTCCTTCAAGCCGTTTAAAAGTGGTAGTAGTTTCTCTCAGTAAAGATTTTTGTGCGCGGCGATTTTTACGATGTCGAAAAATATAGGGCAAAGAATTTGTTTGAAATTTTGTGTTGCAAACGAAATTTCGTTCACAAACGCATTCAAAATATTGCAAAAAGCTTATGGCGATTATTGTTTATCAAAAACAATTACGTTTAAGTGGTTTAAAAAGTTTCAAGAAAGACGAGAATCCGCTAAAGACGATCTACGCTCTGGAAAACCATCAATCATATCATTTGGATCGTGTCAGCACATTTTGTCCAATACTGAACATGAAACGGGTCGCATCGCGCTTGATTCCAAAAGACCAGAATTTTTTCTACAAAAACAATCGAGTATTGATGTCATCTGAGATGATTTTTAGGGTACCATTTCATTTGTGGTACGATAAGTTTTGTCGGATGTAGCGATTGGCTGTTAGTGCGTTTGTACGACGAAATTTTGTCGTATGGGTTGCATGCACATTAATAGCTAATCGTAGTATCTATAAGATATAAATATTGTGTGCATTTAATTATCAAGGTAGTTTATGTTTTTTACAAAAAAATTAATTTAAACTTTCAACTGCAATAAAACA